AACAGGCATAATTAGTCGAAATCAATGATTGTTTTGGTGGTGCTGAATATCATTGAACTGAATTCAGATTCAGATCCAAATCATCCAGTGTGTGTCACGATCGGATCATTTCCTAATGACCAACACAATCCGACAACGGCAGCGCAGATTAGCGTATGGTTTTAAAAAATGCTTTTTTGGGCGCTAAATAATGGCGCAAACACCATATTCATGGGATGTATCCTCCATACTGCGTCTGAAAGGGAGACTCCTAAGATCAGCCGCAGAAATAACCCTGTCCTCGCCTTTCAGCGCTAGTTTTACATGCGTCTTTAGTAAATCCTGACAGTCGTTTTTTTAACACCAAAAGAGTGTGTGCGCTGAGAAGCTGTTAGTAAATCTGCTCTTAGACTCGGACGAGGCTTCGGCACCAGAACCAGGAGAACGAGTCGAGCACTGGATCAGGATCACTTACACACTCCTCTCTGACGGCGGCTAGTGAAGAACAGCATGAAATACAGCCCTTGTTAGTGTGTGTAGAGCTGCAGTCATCTCTGCTTTCACTCTCTCACACACACACACACACACACACACACACACACACACACACATCTCTGCTTTCACTCACTCGCTTCCTGTAGACACACACTCAGCAGACTGTGATCATCTGCTTCAACCCCTGCACCCCGACACACACACACACACACACACACACACACACACACACACACTCACACACACACACACACACACTTACACACACACACACACACACACACACACACACACACACACACACACACACACACACACACACACACACACACAGTCACACACACACACACACACACACACACACACACACACACACACACACACACAGTCACACACACACACAGTCACACACACACACACAGTCACACACACACACACACACACACACACACACACAGTCACACACACACACACAGTCACACACACACAGTCACACAGTCACACACACACACACACACACACACACACACACACACACACACAGTCACACACACACACACAGTCACACACACACAGTCACACACACACACACACACACACACACACACACACAGTCACACACACACACACACACACACACACACACACACAGTCACACACACACACACACACACAGTCACACACACACACACACACAGTCACACACACACAGTCACACAGTCACACACACACACACCACACACACACACACACACACACACACAAACACACCGGTATTATAAACTAATTTAAATATAAAGCTGTTTTGAAACAAGTATACAATAGGTAAACAATAATAATAGCCATAGCAAACAGCACTCATTAAATAAAGCGTTTAGTGTTGATGATGAAGCGCTGGAGAGGAGCAGAAACACAGCCGAGGGAAGTTCACAGTAAAAGCGTTTTACACAGTCACTCACACACACACACACACACACACACACACACACACACACACACCCACACACACTCTCTACACACACACACACACACACACACACACACACACACACTCTCACACACACACACACACACACACACACACACACACACACACACACACACACACACACACACACACACACACACACACACACACACACACACACACACACACACACACACACACACACAACACACAACACAGTCTGAAACACACCAGAGCAGAGTCATCAGAGCGCTTGAGAAGTCAGGTTTCCTCCCGTGTTCAATCGGGAGTTGAATATAATTGCATGTGTGTGTGAACGCTGACCAGCAGAACCATCATTCTGGCCTGTAGATCCTGCGGTCGCTGCTCGAATGAGAAGAATTTGAGTCATTTGTTCTAAGTACCTTTAATCAGATTTACACATCAGTTGATATAACGCCGCTGATCTACACATGACCTCCCGCTGAACCCCAGAGGGTTTATTCTGATGGACGGCGGAATAATCACAGCTACACACTTCTCTTCTGAGGAAAAACATTTCTCAGGGCTTTAGAAAGTCAAGGTTCGCTCCTAGAAAGAGCATAATCTCATTTAATCTCGCGGCATGAGCACACGATTACATTTATGCATTTGGCAGACGCTTTTATCCAAAGGGACTTACATTGCATTTCAAGGGCGTTGCAAGCGCCAACGCTCTACAGTTTGAGTTCCAGGAAAGACTTTTTTTATTTATTATTAGAAGCAGTGTTTACGTTTGAGCCGCGAATGGAAAGCTGGTGGATATTCACATCCCGAGGTCAGAGAGGATCCGCATCAAAGAGTCTCGTACCTGAGCTGGAAACATTTCATTACATTACTAACCCTACAAACCTGAGGGAGAAAGTGCAGATGACAAGAAGAAGGATCTGGGAATCTTCCCAAGGGAACCTGACCTGCTCCGAAGGCGAAGAAGAAGCTCCTGTCAGGCTGTTCCTGGAGCAGTGCTTTAACCCGTCTCCCCATCCTCTCGTTACGCTTGTAGATCAGCTCCTGACGGAAGTATCTGTCGATCTCCTGCGCCGTCTCCTGATCACTCGCCGGGAGAGACACGTTCCTGAAGTTCGGCACCTGAGTATACGGAGACAGATTCAAAATAGTTTAATCAAGATTCCTTCTCATCTGAAAACAACATGAATCCTGTTTAAGGATGTTTAGATATTCCAGTGCACTAGCGGCTGATTCCAGTACACTAGCAGCTGATTCCAGTTCACTACAGCTGATTCCAGTGCACTAGCAGCTGATTCCAGTGCACTAGCAGCTGATTCCAGTGAACTACAGCTGATTCCAGTGCACTAGCGGCTGATTCCAGTGCACTAGCAGCTGATTCCAGTTCACTACAGCTGATTCCAGTGAACTACAGCTGATTCCAGTGCACTAGCAGCTGATTCCAGTGAACTACAGCTGATTCCAGTGCACTAGCAGCTGATTCCAGTGAACTACAGCTGATTCCAGTGCACTAGCAGCTGATTCCAGTGAACTACAGCTGATTCCAGTGCACTAGCAGCTGATTCCAGTGCACTACAGCTGATTCCAGTCAACTTGCAGCTGATTCCAGTGAACTACAGCTGATTCCAGTGCACTACAGCTGATTCCAGTGCACTAGCAGCTGATTCCAGTGCACTACAGCTGATTCCAGTCAACTTGCAGCTGATTCCAGTGAACTACAGCTGATTCCAGTGAACTACAGCTGATTCCAGTGCACTAGCAGCTGATTCCAGTGAACTACAGCTGATTCCAGTTCACTACAGCTGATTCCAGTGCACTACAGCTGATTCCAGTCAACTAGCAGCTGATTCCAGTGCACTGGCAGCTGATTCCAGTGAACTACAGCTGATTCCAGTCAACTAGCAGCTGATTCCAGTGAACTACAGCTGATTCCAATAGCGTCTGGCTGCAGACAAGTGACGTCACTTGCACTCTCGGACTTGCACTCTCAGACACGAGCGCTTCCGCTGCAAGTGACGTCACTTGCAATCGACGCCTGCTCTCTACGGAACGCGATAAACGAAACGCGTGAAATTTGACCGCGTCAACACGCAGTATTTGTCCGCGGCAATTTTTTACGTGTTTCTTTTGAACGCGTTGACAGTTTTTTTCAAATTGCGTGAAACCATTCACTCATGTACCCAATCTTTAGACCAAGCCTGCAAAAATACAAGGACATTATATGCTTTGCTTGCACTCAGTTTGGATTTGAAAAACAAACTATTTGCAAAACTCTAAACACATTTCTCTACATTACACACATCATTCAAAACTAACAGCTCTTGTGTTTCATCTGGGAAACACTGGAATTTAAATGCCACATTACCAAATTACCACATTTACTGATGACCTACAGCCAATAATCATGTGGGAAAACACTTGTACATAAATTGATCACTTAGAAATCAAAACTCAGTTATGAGAAAGAAAGAAATTATTTTTACTATTATTATATATTTAATTATTTTTAATTATTTTCAAGACATTTTGGACAATTTCATGCTCCCAACTTTGTGGGAACAGTTTGTAGATGAAAAACATCAAGATGATGCATTTTTTTTTCTTTTTATTGTAAATGTCAATTTACAGTACACACAGTTAATGTGCAAAACAGACAAATACAAGGTACAAATAGACAATATACAACATATATAAAAACACATTAGCACATTATTCACTTTGCTCTAGTGTAGTTCGACAGTTTACCTTTAATTTCATGACATCGACTACATGTTCAAGAAACATTTGCATGTCATTCATTACAGTAAAGATGAAGCAAAAGGGTTCCAGAGCATCGATTCTGTCCTGTGGAAACTCAGCCTTCTCTAATCTCTCAATGGCTTCCGCAACGTCTTGTTCCTCCATACACACTACTTTGGGCAAATGAACAGAACCATGCAGTGCACTAGATTGATCCAAACACCACTTGCTGGCTATCTTCAAATCTGGCATCAATCGACTCTGTGAAATAACACGGAGAACAAGGGATTGCAAGTGACGCCACAGCCGGTAGCGGAGAGCAGGTGTCGACGGCAAGTGACGTCACTTGCAGCGGAAGCGCTCGTGTCTGAGCGTGCAAGTCTGAGCGTGCAAGTCTGAGAGTGCAAGTCTGCAGCCAGACCCTTCTCGCTGATTCCAGTGAACTACAGCTGATTCCAGTGCACTAGCAGCTGATTCCAGTGCACTAGCGGCTGATTCCAGTGCACAACAGCTGATTCCAGTCAACTAGCAGCTGATTCCAGTGCACTAGCAGCTGATTCCAGTGAACTACAGCTGATTCCAGTTCACTACAGCTGATTCCAGTGCACTAGCGTCTGATTCCAGTGAACTACAGCTGATTCCAGTTCACTACAGCTGATTCCAGTGCACTAGCAGCTGATTCTAGTGCACTACAGCTGATTCCAGTCAACTAGCAGCTGATTCCAGTGAACAACAGCTGATTCTAGTCAACTAGGAGCTGATTCCAGTGCACTAGCAGCTGATTCCAGTGAACTACAGCTGATTCCAGTGCACTAGCAGCTGATTCCAGTGCACTAGCAGCTGATTCCAGTGCACTAGCAGCTGATTCCAGTGAACTACAGCTGATTCCAGTGCACTAGCGGCTGATTCCAGTGCACTAGCGGCTGATTCCAGTGCACTAGCAGCTGATTCCAGTGCACTACAGCTGATTCCAGTCAAATAGCAGCTGATTCCAGTGCACTACAGCTGATTCCAGTTCACTACAGCTGATTCCAGTGCACTAGCGGCTCATTCCAGTGCACTAGCGGCTGATTCCAGTGCACTACATCTGATTCCAGTGCACTAGAGCTGATTCCAGTCCACTAGCGGCTGATTCCAGTGCACTATAGCTGATTCCAGTTCACTACAGCTGATTCCAGTGCACTAGCGTCTGATTCCAGTTCACTACAGCTGATTCCAGTGCACTCCAGTTCACTACAGCTGATTCCAGTGCACTACAGCTGATTTCAGTTCACTACAGCTAATTCCAGTGCACTTTAGCTGATTCCAGTGCACTACAGCTGATTCCAGTGCACTACAGCTGATTCCAGTGCACTACAGCTGATTCCAGTGCAATAGCGGCTGATTCCAGTGCACTAGCAGCTGATTCCAGTGCACTACAGCTGATTCCAGTCAACTAGCAGCTGATTCCAGTGCACTACAGCTGATTCCAGTGCACTAGCGGCTGATTCCAGTGCACTAGCGGCTGATTCCAGTGCACTACATCTGATTTCAGTGCACTAGAGCTGATTCCAGTGCACTAGCGTCTGATTCCAGTTCACTGCGGCTGATTCCAGTGCACTATAGCTGATTCCAGTTCACTACAGCTGATTCCAGTGCACTAGCGTCTGATTCCAGTTCACTACAGCTGATTCCAGTGCACTCCAGTTCACTACAGCTGATTCCAGTGCACTACAGCTGATTTCAGTTCACTACAGCTAATTCCAGTGCACTTTAGCTGGTTCCAGTTAACTACAGCTGATTCCAGTGCACTAACGGCTGATTCCAGTGCACTACAGCTGATTCCAGAGCACTAGCAGCTGATTCCAGTGCACTACAGCTGATTCCAGTTCACTACACCTGATTTCAGTGCACTAGCGGCTGATTCCAGTGCACTACAGCTGATTCCACTGCACTACAGCTGATTCCACTGCACTACAGCTTATTCCAGTGCACTACAGCTGATTCCAGTGCACTAACGGCTGATTCCAGTGCACTAGCGGCTGATTCCAGTGCACTAGCGGCTGATTCCAGTGCACTACAGCTGCATTCCAGTTCACTAGCGGCTGATTCCAGTGCACTAGCGGCTGATTCCAGTGCACTACAGCTGATTCCAGTGCACTAGCGGCTGATTCCAGTGCACTAGCGGCTGATTCCAGTGCACTACATCTGATTCCAGTGCACTAGAGCTGATTCCAGTCCACTAGCGGCTGATTCCAGTGCACTATAGCTGATTCCAGTTCACTACAGCTGATTCCAGTGCACTAGCGTCTGATTCCAGTTCACTACAGCTGATTCCAGTGCACTCCAGTTCACTACAGCTGATTCCAGTGGACTACAGCTGATTTCAGTTCACTACAGCTAATTCCAGTGCACTTTAGCTGATTCCAGTGCACTACAGCTGATTCCAGTGCACTACAGCTGATTCCAGTGCACTAGCGGCTGATTCCAGTGTACTAGCAGCTGATTCCAGTGCACTACAGCTGATTCCAGTCAACTAGCAGCTGATTCCAGTGCACTACAGCTGATTCCAGTTCACTACAGCTGATTCCAGTGCACTAGCGGCTGATTCCAGTGCACTAGCGGCTGATTCCAGTGCACTACATCTGATTCCAGTGCACTAGAGCTGATTCCAGTCCACTAGCTGCTGATTCCAGTGCACTATAGTTGATTCCAGTTCACTACAGCTGATTCCAGTGCACTAGCGTCTGATTCCAGTTCACTACAGCTGATTCCAGTGCACTCCAGTTCACTACAGCTAATTCCAGTGCACTACAGCTAATTCCAGTTCACTACAGCTGATTCCAGTGCACTAACGGCTGATTCCAGTGCACTACAGCTGATTCCAGTGCACTATAGCTGATTCCAGTGCACTAGCAGCTGATTCCAGTGCACTACAGCTGATTCCAGTGCACTACAGCTGATTCCACTGCACTACAGCTGATTCCACTGCACTAGCAGCTGATTCCACTGCACTACAGCTGATTCCAGTGCACTAACGGCTGATTCCAGTGCACTAGCGGCTGATTCCAGTGCACTAGCGGCTGATTCCAGTGCACTACAGCTGCATTCCAGTTCACTAGCGGCTGATTCCAGTGCACTAGCGTCTAATTCCACTATAGCAGCACTAGCGGCTGATTCCAGTGCACTAGCATGATGAAGAGCGTCACCTGCGAGGAGTCGTGGTTGAAGATGATGGAGTTCAGATCTCCACAGTTGTAGTGCTTGATCAGGTCCTCTGTGGTGTAGGGAACCTGCAGACTCCCGGCCCGAAGACTCTCCTGCTGCAGCAGCGTCTGGTTCAGAGCAAAGATCACCTGCAATACACACACACACACAGCTGAAACATACACACACACAGCCATGACAGTCTGTGAAATCTCATCTCAAAATTTCCCCCAGATCATTTATTATAGCTTGTCAAATTTGTCCCTTTTTGGGTGTGTCCCTTTAAATGCTAATGAGCTGCTGCCCCGCCCCTGTTCAGAAGAGGGCGGAGCCTTCACACGAGCTTCAGAGACTCCGGCAATAACAACACAGGCCGATCTCACTGATCCAGAATCAGGAGTAACCAGCAGCGAGTGCAGCCTTACGGAGAGACTCAGGGAGAGCTTCACTTTTACACGTTTCTGAATGTTAGCGGAGACATTTCTGTAGTTGTTGTGGAGTTACACTGATCATCTCCTCATCATGTTGAACTCTTCCACAAGTGTCCACAGTTCCTGAGGTGTTTATAAGACAGCGCTGACATGTTCTGGTCAATAGTGTTCAGTGTCGTCTGTGCTTGACCACAGAACAGTTTCAGGCTTTGCTGGATCTTCTCCAGTGCGTTAGAACTGGTCTCTGTTGGCGCTCGCCGAACCCAATGTCGCTGGTGTGTGTAAACGTGCAGATTAAGGGCCGGGGATATTATAATAAGATCCTCTTCATACGGCAGAAGGGTTTGTCATTGTTTTTTTAAACTTAACTCTTGTTTATGCTCTTTTATGATATAATTATGAATGATGCACCTGCAACGAAACGGCAATGAACACGTTGAAATTGTTTTACAGTGTAGACGTTTACTTGATCAGAAAATGGAAATGAGTTCTATGTGGTTTCTTACCATCAGATCACAACAACACACACACGTGATATGATGTCTGGAGCACAAAAACACTGCACTAACACACTCAGCTCTGAGACTATAAGATGACTGACTCGTGAACAGCAGATCTCAACACAAGCGCAGTGTTTCTGTCTGATGTTCCTGAATGGAGGCTCTTCTGAAGCGCGAGTGAATCTCAACAGATCAAAGGCTCAGCGGAGAGTTTCTCTCAATTAGTTCTAGCTGACGCTTTTTGTTGCTTCTGCTGCTGCAGCTCACTATTGTGTTACCATGAAATTCCCCAGTGTTTACTCACACACACACACACACTCACTCTCATACACACACTCACACACATACACCATACACACACACACACACACACACACACTCACATACATACATACATACATGCATACATACACACACATTCTTGTACACACACTCACTCACACACACTCTCACTCACACACTCTCACACACATACACACACACTCTCACTCACACACTCTCTCACTCACACACTCTCTCACACACACACACACACACACACACACACACACACACACACACACACACACACACACACACACACACACACACACACACACACACACACACACACACACACTCTCATACACACACTCACACACATACACCATACACCATACACACACACACACACACACACACACACACACACACTCACATACATACATACATAAATACATACATACATACACACACATTCTTGTACACACACTCACTCACACACACTCTCACTCACACACTCTCACACACATACACACACACACACACACATTGTTGTACACACGCACACTCTCACTCACTCACACACACTCACACACACACACACTTGAGCTCTTTTCATCCGTGCCGATGACACTCTGGCCGTCCCTCATTGTTTGCGGGGCTCGTCTGAGAGAGGAGGGCGGATCCTTCATGTGTGGGACAAAGAGCCGCCGCTTTCATCCCGCGCTCATCAAAGCCTCTGCTCTGCATCTGAAAGCTCTCCGGCTTTATGCTGCTCAAATTAGCCTATCGCCACCCCGCTAGCCTCACAAACCCCACGGCACAAACCTCCCTCCATCTGCCGAGTCCGAGCAGCTCCAGCTCCGCACCCCCTCCTCCAGCCTTTCAGACCCTTAAATCATGGCACGGAGGAGAATGAAAGAGCGCCGAAAGTGAGAAGGAAGAAAGACGGGGCTAAACGAATGCTGTGACGCGGCTCCGTTGTGTCCGTTCTGTGGGTCACTGGCCACATTCACACACACGGGAACCAGAGTGAGTTCATATCAATGCACTGCGGCCCTATGAAAGTCAATAACTCTGCTTTGTGATGGAAATTACCCCGATGCGTCACGATGAAGGAACAGAAAACACTCTGAGGTATTTAACGGTCTCTGCGATTTCTGCACCGAACAGAATCACGAAAATAATAATGATGATGGAATTCAAACATTTTTCACAAAAACAATCCTTCTGTGATTCTTCAGATCAATTCAGTGCAGCGTTGATTCAGTTCAGTTTAATAACTGTGTGAAGTTCATCATTTATGAAATGAGTTTTATTCAGCTGTAAAGCAGCTCTGGAGAAAACAGTGGCATGACTGGATGGAGTGATGAAGTGATGAACTGATGGAGTGATTGACTGATAGATTGATGGAGTGATGGACTGATTGGTCTTTATCAATCCTTCCTCTCCTTATTCTCTACTAATATCTCTACTGCTAAAATGACATACTACGACAAAAAAATTAACAACTCTTCTGACTCTCGCACGCTTTCAAAACCTTCTCCTCTCTTCTTAACCCTCCTCCTCCTTCACCAACCCTAACAGCTGATGACTTTGCCACATTCTTCATAAATTAAAAACCACCACCATCAGCGGACAATTTTCCACACCACAAACTGACACACACATCCTAACCACAAACACACACACACACTCTCCCCTCCTTCTCTCCGCTCTAAGAGGCAGAAGTCTTCAAACTCAGCCTTTCCAATCACCTATAACCTGTCCGCTTGATCCGATCCCCTCTCATCTCCTTCAAAACCCTTTCTTCTTCAGTTGTACCTGCACTTTCTCACTCATATCAACACCTCTCTTCACACTGGTATCTTTCCCACAGCATTTAAGAGGCTCTGATAACCCCACTGCTTAAGAAACCCACTCTAAATCCAGCACTTTTAGAAAATTACAGACCGGTATCCCTTCTTCCATTCATTGCTAAAACACTTGAACGAGTCGCTTTCAACCAAATCTCTGCCTTTCTTACACAGAACAACCTCCAAGAAAACAACCACAACTGTTATCATCTAGCTACTGGAGTGCATCAGGGCTCAGTGCTGGGACCGCTTCTCTTCTCCATCTACATGTCATCACTAGTGTCTGTCATTCAGAAACATGGTTTATCCCATCACTGTTATCATCTAGCTACTGGAGTGCCTCAGGGCTCAGTGCTGGGACCGCTTCTCTTCTCCATCTACATGTCATCACTAGTGTCTGTCATTCAGAAACATGGTTTATCCCATCACTGTTATCATCTAGCTACTGGAGTGCATCAGGGCTCAGTGCTGGGACCGCTTCTCTTCTCCATCTACATGTCATCACTAGTGTCTGTCATTCAGAAACATGGTTTATCCCATCACTGTTATCATCTAGCTACTGGAGTGCCTCAGGGCTCAGTGCTGGGACCGCTTCTCTTCTCCATCTACATGTCATCACTAGTGTCTGTCATTCAGAAACATGGTTTATCCCATCACTGTTATCATCTAGCTACTGGAGTGCCTCAGGGTTCAGTGCTGGGACCGCTTCTCTTCTCCATCTACATGTCATCACTAGTGTCTGTCATTCAGAAACATGGTTTCTCCCATCACTGTTATCATCTAGCTACTGGAGTGCCTCAGGGTTCAGTGCTGGGACCGCTTCTCTTCTCCATCTACATGCCATCACTAGAATCTGTCATTCAGAAACAGGGTTTATCCCATCACTGTTATCATCTAGCTACTGGAGTGCCTCAGGGCTCAGTGCTGGGACCGCTTCTCTTCTCCATCTACATGTCATCACTAGTGTCTGTCATTCAGAAACATGGTTTATCCCATCACTGTTATCATCTAGCTACTGAAGTGCCTCAGGGTTCAGTGCTGGGACTGCTTCTCTTCTCCATCTACATGTCATCACTAGGATCTGCCATTCAGAAACATGGTTTATCCCATCACTGTTATCATCTAGCTACTGGAGTGCCTCAGGGCTCAGTGCTAGGACCGCTTCTTTTCTCCATCTACATGTCATCACTAGGATCTGTCATTCAGAAACATGGTTTATCCCATCACTGTTATCATCTAGCTACTGGAGTGCCTCAGGGTTCAGTGCTGGGACTGCTTCTCTTCTCCATCTACATGTCATCACTCGGATCTGCCATTCAGAAACATGGTTTATCCCATCACTGTTATCATCTAGCTACTGGAGTGCCTCAAGGCTCAGTGCTGGGGCCGCTTCTCTTCTCCATCTACATGTCATCACTAGGATCTGTCATTCAGAAACATGGTTTATCCCATCACTGTTATCATCTAGCTACTGGAGTGCCTCAGGGTTCAGTGCTGGGGCCGCTTCTCTTCTCCATCTACATGTCATCACTAGTGTCTGTCATTCAGAAACATGGTTTATCCCATCACTGTTATCATCTAGCTACTGGAGTGCCTCAAGGCTCAGTGCTGGGGCCGCTTCTCTTCTCCATCTACATGTCATCACTAGGATCTGTCATTCAGAAACATGGTTTATCCCATCACTGTTATCATCTAGCTACTGGAGTGCCTCAGGGTTCAGTGCTGGGGCCGCTTCTCTTCTCCATCTACATGTCATCACTAGTGTCTGTCATTCAGAAACATGGTTTATCCCATCACTGTTATCATCTAGCTACTGGAGTGCCTCAGGGTTCAGTGCTGGGGCCGCTTCTCTTCTCCATCTACATGTCATCACTCGGATCTGTCATTCAGAAACATGGTTTATCCCATCACTGTTATCATCTAGCTACTGGAGTGCCTCAGGGCTCAGTGCTGGGACCGCTTCTCTTCTCCATCTACATGTCATCACTAGGATCTGTCATTCAGAAACATGGTTTATCCCATCACTGTTATCATCTAGCTACTGGAGTGCCTCAGGGCTCAGTGCTGGGACTGCTTCTCTTCTCCATCTACATGACATAGT